AAAACCCCTCTATAATGCAGCTTTTAATCTTATTTTTTTGATTAGGCTATGCACATGTATCTTTTGGTAACAGAAGCTGGAGGGTGTAGACAAGATGGTTTAGGAAGATGGACAGTTGGTGCCATAATTGCTTGTTCACTGAGTAGTTTTGTGAAAAATAGAAGTAAATTATTAATTCCTGGGCTTAGTGATTTTTTTATTGAAGGGTTATAATCATTTATAAAACTTTCTTTTTAAAGCCGAACGTCAACTTGTTCTTCTGGCAGGTCCTTTGAAAACCCAGTGTCTCCCCCCACCCAAAAGTTCGGTAGATTTGGAAGTATTTTGAAGTGTTTCTATCCTCTCACCTTAGAATTTGAATGGAAATAGTCCATTTTGGTTTTCATTTCCAATACAAATTCACTTTACCCTTGAAACATACAGCAGAACTAAAGTGCCCCTACCTTTCTTTCTAATATCAAGCCTGGGATACTGATACAACAGACATTCAGCAATATTTTTGAAGTTTCTATCATGTGCCAGGGCACCATGCTGTGCATTCAGTTTACACATTATTATTCAGTGCAACCTGGCTTCTTAGAACAACAACTACATACGTCTTCTATCTCCTGTCCTAGTTGCTTAGGAGAGTTCCTGAATGCTTGTGACTTTGGGACTACACTCTTAATGCTCTCCTCACATCTAGGACCAGCGCCATGTCTACAAATTAGATAAGGGCTTCTGACAAACTTTTGATAATGTGGCAGTCATCTTATAGACCATGGGTAATGTTAACTAATCACCAACCATTGTATGGCATCAAGCTTCTTTTAAACAGATAACCCAAGAAAGCAATACTGTGAGTGAATAGGATTGCTTTGAAGTTTCAGGACCTTAAACTGTTTAATGAGAATAAGAGAAGATTCTGATTGAGAATGAGGTATTGATTGGGTATAGGCCCTGAAGCAAAATAGAAAAATAATCTTTACAGAGTAGCTAGTTTCAACAAGGGGATAAAAACTAAGGAATAGAAAAAGTCCTCTGACTTTTTCTATCATGAATCCTATGTACTTCTGATTTTTCCTGTGTAGGTAAATACTTTCATAGCTTGAGGAGCATCTTACTTTTTGGGATTCTTTTCTTTGGGCTTCTGCTTTTACTCTGAGTCTCAGAGAGAAAAAGACACAGTGTGATGGAGAGGAAAGCTAAATTTAGCTTGAGACGCATGCTCTACCTACTATTTGTGTGACATTGGACCACTTATTCCTCTCTGGGCCTCAGTTTTCTCATATTTCAACAGTGAGGCATTTGAACTAGTACCTGTGGGTCATTATTAGGATAAATTGGAGAATGTATATTTAATGCCTATTAAAGTGTAATGCATATGATTGCTCAATCAATTGTTATCAAACAGGTCTGGCTGCTCACCACTCAAAAATCAATACTCAAGAGGCAAGTGTTGGTAGAAATAGAAAACATTGCTTTTAACCGGAAAGCTGGCAATCTGGGGGGAAGGCGGCCTTGTGTCCCCAAACCAACTCTGAAGTTTCTGCTTGGCCATGAAAGGGTTTTTTTGGTTTTTTTTTGTTTTTTTTGCGGTATGCAGGCCTCTCACTGTTGTGGCCTCTCCCGTTGAGGAGCACAGGCTCCAGAACGCGCACTGGCCCAGCCGCTCTGCGGCATGTGGGATCTTCCCAGACCGGGGCACGAACCCATGTCCCCTGCATCGGCAGGTGGACTCTCAACCACTGCGCCACCAGGGAAGCCCGCCATGAAAGTTTTTAAAGAAAAAAAGGGGAGGTAATCTCAGTTCATCATTGAGATTCGGAGTCAGAGTCATCACCATCTTTCCCTGCTTGCCAGCTTGTCGGCTTCTTGTGATCTCTCTTTAGATGCTACCTTGTTCACAGTTTGCTCATAAGATTACTGAAGGGGAAGCTGGGAAAGAGATCTGGTCATCTGTTAATTATTTATTCTTCATTTCTACTTCTTTGATCTATGGAAAGAACCAACAGGTTAGGCAGGGTATTGTGTGATCGAAAGATTTGAAAGCTGTGCTAGGGCTGGAGATGAGTAGAGCATGGGAGTGCCTGGTTTAAGGTTAGTGACAATATAGCTTGCTAAAGTGACAAAAGGGGCCTCCTGTAGAGAGCACTTTCCTGCCAAAAGCTGCTTACAAAATGATTGTTACTCTATCAATCATTGCTACTATCTATCAAGTAACGCTGCTACCACTATTTTTTTTTTAACATCTTTATTGGGGTATAATTGCTTTACAATGGTGTGTTAGTTTCTGCTTTATAACAAAGTGAATCAGTTATACATATACATATGTTCCCATATGTCTTCCCTCTTGCGTCTCCCTTCCTCCCACCCTCCCTCCCTATCCCACCCCTCCAGGCTGTCACAAAGCACTGAGCCAATATCCCTGTGCCATGCGGCTGCTTCCCACTAGCTATCTACCTTACGTTTGTTAGTGTGTATATGTCCATGACTCTCTCTTGCCCTGTCACAGCTCACTCTTCCCCCTCCCCATATCCTCAAGTCCGTTCTGCAGTAGGTCTGCGTCTTTATTCCTGTCTTACCCCTAGGTTCTTCATGACATGCTACCACTATTAATGTTACTACATCAGTCATTTTGACCAAGTGTGTGAAGGTACCATCTTAGGCTTTCCCTCATTTACTCTGAGTCCTTCCCCCATTCAGTCTGTCCAAATGTGACCAATGCCACCATTTGAGGAAAGACTCTTATCTCCCTGCAGCTGTTTCATGCACATCCCTTGGGCACACGTGCGAGCACTTACTCATTATTCTTTTCATTATTGTTGTTGCCTCCATTTCATTTTTCAGGAATTGACAGATATTTCAACCCAGAAAGAAGCTTTTGTTGACTACTCTTTACAAAGTGGTTGTATAGAGTTGACCCTTAGTTTGTATTTGCTACTCTTAACATTCCTCAGTGATGGCCCTTAAACGCCCTTATCTATTATAGACCAGAGAAAAATGTTTGGAATTCAGTCTGTAGGTTGAAGGGAAACTGGAGAAAGAGGGTAGAGGGTAGAGTTTGAGGTAGTTAAAGGTACAGTTTTATTGGCTCACGGTATCATTTGCTCTCCTTTGATATTTCTTTATTTATCTCTCAGTTTTTCATTTGTCAAAACTCTTTCCAATTTCTGTGTCTAAAAGTGATTTCTGCCTCCTTGAATTTTTTTTGACTGAATCATGCATCTTTTATCTTGGATTACTTGTCTATTTCTACTTTCTGTATTTTACCTCCTGGGCGTTTTAGAAGTTAGGCCCATGTGTTGAGATATAGTGAAGGGCTGAAAGGTCCAGGCTCTGGAGCCACACTGGGTAGATGTGAATTCTCGCTCTTAAAATTAATTGCGTGACCTTGAGCAAAGTACTTAACCTATCCCTGTCTCTTTGCTTATCTATAAAATGGAACTAAACTGTTGCATTATTTTGTATGTTGAGTGAGCTAATACGTTTAAAATACTTAGAGCAATGCCTGGGAAGTAGTATATGCTCAGTAAATAAATGTTGCCTGTGATGATGATAATGTTGTACACATTTTTCTCCCTCTGTTTAACACTAAACATAGGATACTTGCTTACAGAATACCTTACATGGTCAGGAAGGGTATTGTTAAAATGAGTATCTCAGTTGAACATTTATTCTCTCTCAGGGCATCTTGAGCTGCTTGAGATCAGGGACCAGGATTTTGTTTATCTTTAGTATCCTTATAGTCTAGCACAATGCCTGGCACATAGTAGGTTCTCAGTAATGTTATTGAATTGGATATATTTGATGGAGGTGAGATAACCAATGTAACTATGCCCCTCTCAGTCTTGGATACTTCTGAACACCCAGTTACTCTTGTCAGAAACTTCCCACATTTAATCCATCACCAAAGCTGTTAACTAGACCTGTAAATGTATCTCAGATCCATAGCCTCCATTTCCACTTCCACCATCTTTATATAAGCTATCTTATTCTTCTTCCTGGACTACTGCTTCAGTCTCCTAAACTGATCTTATATCTCCTGCAAGTCGTATTTCACAAAGAAGAAGACAGAACCATTTTTTTAAAAGCAAAAATATTCTTTTCCCTCTCCTACTTGAGAACTCTTCAGTGGCTTCCATGGAGTAACTTGTCCTACGGGGTCTGCCAAAATTTTGGCTTACTTCTTGAGTCTTACCCTATTCAGTCATTCTGCACCAGTCTTGCTGGCTAGTCTCTCTGTGTTTGGACTGTGCTTGACAAATTCTGTAAATTGGCATGCTTTTCAGTACCTTCAAAGCACTCTCTCTTTTTTTTATTGAACTATAGTTAATTTACAATATTGTGTTAGTTTCAGGTGTACAGCTTCAAATTCTTTTCCATTATAGGTTATTACAAGATATTGACTATAGTTCCCTGTGCTATTCAGTAAATTCTTGTTATTTATCTATTTTACATATACTGGTGTATCTATTTAATCCCATACTCCTAATTTATCCCTCAGCCCCCCTCTTTCCCCTTTGATATTCATAAGCTTATTTTCTGTGTCTTTGAGACTGTTTGTTTTGTAAATAAGTTCATTTTTATCATTTTTTAGATTCTACATATAAGTGATATCTTTATAATATTTGTCTTTTCTCTGTCAGACTTACTTCACTTAGTATAATCTCTGGGTCCATCCATGTTGCTGCAAATGGTAATATTTCATTCTTTTTTACGTCTGAGTAATATTCCGGTGTGTGTGTGTGTGTGTGTGTGTGTGTGTGTGTGTGTGTGTGTACACACACATACCCCACATCTTCTTTATCCATTCATCTGTTGATGTACACTTAGATTGCTTCCATGTCTTGGCTACTGTGAATAGTACTGTTATGAACATTGGGGTGCATGTATCTTTTCAAATTAGAGTTTTCATCTTTTCCCAGGAGTGGGATTGCTGAATCATATGGTAGCTCTATTTTTAGTTTTCTAAGGAACATCCGTACTGTTCTCAACAGTGGCTGCACCAATATACATTCCCACCAGCAGTGTAGGAGGGTTCCCTGTTCTCCATTCAAAGTACTCTTTGTTTTTCCTTTGTAAAACTGGTCATGATTGTAAATCAAACAAGTGTTTGTCTAGCAGTTTTTTATATGTATTTTGTTTTTTACCCACAAATATTTGTATTTGAAAATAAAAGGACTTAAAAACTGTTATTTATTAATTTACATAGAATAAATTTGACTTTTTTGGGGGTATACACTACTGTAAATTTTCACACATGTAGATTTGTGAAAACATCACCACAGTTAGAATACAAGGAATAATTTTATCACCTGAGGAAACTCCCTTCTGCTATATGCTTTAGGAAAGTCATCTTCCCCTTGACCCTTAACTCCTGGCAACCACTGATCTGTTCTCTTTCACTATAATTTTTTCTTTTTGAGAATGTCATATAAATGGAATCAGGCAGTATATATCCTTTTGAAGCATAATGTCTTTTAAATCCATCCAAGCTATTGTGTATGTTATTAGAATGTTCTTATTTTATTGCTGAGTAGTATTCCATTGTATGGATGTACCACTTCAGCCATTGAAGGACATTTGGGTATCTAGCACATTTTTTTTGGGCCACACTGTGGGGCATGTAGTTCCCTGACCAGAAATTGAACCTGCACCCCCTGCATTGGAAGGTGGAGTCTTAACCACTGGACCACGAGAGAAGTCCCTCTAGTACATTTTAATGACTTTCTCAGTAAGTTCCATGAGCATGACAGCCTGGACTTGTTAGCATGTGTCCTCTCTCTCTCTTTCCGTATCTTATTCTCTCTGTCTCTATGTGTGTGTATACAGACATTACACACATGCACCAACACACACACACCAACCATACATGGTGCTTTATTTTTGAACCATTTGTGTAAATTGCATCAATCATGGCCTTTTACTCCTAAATACTTCAGCTTTTAGTCGTCATGTCTTTGTAGTCTCTTTTACACTGTAATGTCATTTCCTGAGTCTTTCTCACTTACAACTAACATTTTTGAAAAATACAGTTCTACTCTGTCTCCTTCTCTCCCTTTCTTTCTCCCTTACTCTCTCCCAGAATGTTCCTCATTTGGGGTTTGTCTCATATTTCCTCATGGTTAGATCCAAGTTAATCATCCCTGGTTGGAATATTACATAAGCAATGTGTCCTTCTTGAAATATCGCATCTAGCAGTATGTGGTGTCTACCTGCTTCTCATTAATCATGTCAATTCTGGTCAAGGTGTTGTCCGATTTCTCCGCTGTATGATACTTTTTTTTTGTTTTTCCTGGCAACTGTTAAGCAATCTGTATTGAGTTACTGCTCCTCATTAAAATTTTCCCCTACATTGAGCAAAATGATAATATTTTTATTGTTACTGGACTAATTTTTATTGTAAACCCCATTTCAAGTTTTCATTCTTTTGATTTTAGGATCTATAAGTAATTTTTAAGATCCATAATAAGGTCAGTAACTGCTATTGTAAACCATTCTTTAGATGTAAACCCATCTTGATTGGTTTATACATAGACGCTATATGTCTAAGTAATGTAGATGGCATATATGTAAAAGATGGTAATAGAACAGTTTTCCTCTTATTTTTGTATTTTTGTACTTGTGATGGAATTGCTGAATGGAAAGGAAATAGATATGTGTTGAAACTTAAGGCATGAGATTATTTAAAGATAGAGGTAGTACAAAAGAAGGTTTAGCAATAAGAATGAGAGAGAAATAATTTAGTGAGCCAATCTCCTGGAAAGAAGAGGGAGGATGCCTACTTAGGAGGCTTAGTGTTCAGAAATAGTTCTATTGAATATTAGTAGGAATGAGAAAAGGGATACGAGGAATCATTTTGATGTATTATTCCAGAGCAAATTCAAAATGTCACAATTCAGTTGGGGAGAATTATTGTGCATTGGAGATATATGAAGATTTTATTAAACATGTTATAGAACTTAAAGCTCATGAGAGGATTTAAAATTATCTAAATAATACAGATTACTGTGAAATGCAAGTATTTAAAGCACAGGGAAATGTACACTCCGGTAAGTGCAGTGGGAAGCTGGGAAACTTGAGTTCTTATCTAAACCTTGAGTGGGCAATTTTGCCACTAATTAGTGATGTGCTCATAGCAAGAAAGATGCAGAGGTCTCTGGATTCTTTCCCTGCATCAACTTTTTTCATGTTTTGATTTCTGCGGTCTTCTTTAGTAGTGATCACTTGTGTCTAAGAGCAGCACCTCCTAGATGAACAGATATTTACTTCAAGATCTAGTAAGAATAAATATTTTTGTCTGCTTTGGATATTTCTAGAACAGAGGACAAAATTAATTAATGAATGTTCTGATCTTGTTACCTTGTAGTTTACCCTCTTTAAATTTTATTTTGATTTCAATGGACCAATTTCTCTGACTTTTTCTAGACTGTAGGAGAGTAAAAAGTTTTCCTTGACTCTCTTAGGGTCCCTAGCTGGGTCTGAAAATTAAACTGAGAAAGACAAGACAACAGGATTAAAGCATACAAATTTAATGTACATTTTACATGTCATGGGAGTCTTCATAAGGAAATGAAGACTCAAAGAAACTGTTAAACCTGTGTTTGATGTAGAATGGCAAGTCATGGAAAGATATGATAGGGAAAAGTGTATGAGGTAAGTATAATAAACCAGGGGAAATTTTACAAGTCCCATTTGTTTGGATTCTTCTGAGTCCTCTTGTCTTTGGAGATAAGGATTCCTCCCATTATAGGGAGGGCAGTTCTCACTTGCGGGTTTAATGACTTCTTTCAGGGGACAAGGGCAGGGAGTATGGGGGTGTGGCTGGGGGTGGGAGAGGTCAGAGAGAGAACTTCCTGCTCATGCTGTATGCTCAGACTCTTTCAGCTTAAAGTATTCAGTATGCCAAGGTGTATATTTTGGGGTATCGTGTCCTGAACCCCATCATAATTCTTTAAGTTGTATGACACAGTTGAAAAAAATCTGTGAGACGTATCTCATTATGATTTGTATGTTATTGAAAATATGAAACAAAATGAACTTGAAAAACCTAGCTCTTGTTCCATCTTTACCTCTAATTTATGTCATTTCTCTGTCATTTGGTTTTTTGGTTGTTGTTTTCTAATTTCTGTGTTTATAAAATAGCAGTAACAATAACCAGCCACAAAGGATAGCTGTGAGATTTGTAAGTCATTTTGATAAAGATCTGTTATCTAGTATGCACCTCTGATTTTTTATTGTAATTGAAAGAAAGTGCTGGGTATTATACAAAATATTAATATGGAAATAATTTATATTATTATCTGAAGTAGTTGTCTTGATGTGAAATAAAGCTGCTTTAATATCAAAAGGGAGTTATAGTATACAGTTATATATATTATTACTGATATTTTAAGTGCACTGTCAGGGTATTAGTAATATTAATAAATGTCAGAATTAGAAAGTCTAAGCAGTCAGGTTTTTGGAAAATTAATGACTAAACAATGTATAATATATAGTTTATAGTCAACTCTTTAAATCCTTACTTTAAAATATTACATTATGCACAGATACATTTTTATTGTAAAAAATTCGGGTTAATTCAGATGTATATATGGTCAAAAGTCATTAAAGGGCTTCTTTCACTCTCCTCAACTTTTCTTGTCAAAGATAACCTTTGTCAGTAACTTGGTATGCAACCTGATATCAGTCTATAACTCAAGGCATATACCTTAATATATTAAGGTACTAATTGGTCGTATTCAATACTTTATATGCACCAATTTTTTTTAATTAAAAAAGAACAACACAGAAGAACAGCATCTGTCAAGTTCATTGTCCTAAATTACTTGTTTTTGCTACTTGTTTTTTTTTTTTAAGGAATAAAGCAAAATTGAAGTCGCTACTGTATATTCAAAACAATACAAATATAAATATTCTATGCATTTAAAAAATTCACAAAAGTTACATTACTCTTGGGCTTCCCTGGTGGCGCAGTGGTTGAGAGTCTGCCTGCTTACTTCAACTTGCTTTTTCCATTCGATAGCTATTTGTTGTTGATGTATACAGAGTTTGTTCGTTCTGAATATTTAAAATTTTCATGTTTAAAAAATACTTACTTTTAAAATGAAATATTTAGGTTTGTGCGTTAGGAAAACTCAAGTTAACTGCATTCTGAAAAAATAAGTTCCTGAGATTTCCTTTTAACAATACTTTTGAAACACAGATAACATTACTTCCTGTCTCTCAGTTTCCTGTATCCATGGCAACCTCTGTTTTACACACTGAGTGTGGAGGAACCAATGTGAAGAGTGGTGTTTCCTGAGCAAATTGTGACTTAAAAAAAAAAAAGAGGTGGAGGGGTGGAGGTCAACAGTGCCACAAAAGAAATGGAGTTTAGAAATGTCGCTCTTCAGATATAGAAAGAAAACCTTTACTTGAATCAGCTGAGTGTTAATAATATGAATTTCCTGTTCTTGGTAAGATTATTTATTTAAATATGAACTTTTAGCTGAAACAAAAAATAATTTGGTTTGTAAAAACCTGTAGTTTAAAGAGAGTTTAATTGTTCTGTAATGAATGTGTATAATTCCTAAATTATAATGTTGTTTAATTGATATTAGACTTTAAGTTGATAAAGGGGCATATTATATCCAAAGATCTTTATCCCTGCATCATCATTTGTCACTTTAGTTATAGTCAGTTGTAATATTTAAGTTAGCAAACATTTTATTTTGCAGTTCATTAAATTTGAATTATCATTTTGTCAAACAGTGGGTTAATGGCCTGGAGGTGCTAATAATTCTAGAACGTATTTCAGCCTTACTGTTTTATGCTATCACCATAGTATGATTCATGATACTTAGTATTGTGGCTGATCCTAATAAAATAAAATATAGAATTTCTAGTATTATAAAACTTTCATTTAAAGAACTTTTTGATGATTTAAAGTTTTACCTTTTCTTTTTATAGCCAATTTTGATATGAACAGAAAAACCAAGAACAGGGCTATGTGTGGAGTACGTTTTTCTCTGCCTTGCCTACGACTGTTTCTACTTGTTACCTGTTATCTTGTGTTATTATTCCATAAAGAGATACTTGGATGTTCGTCTGTTTGCCAGCTCTGCACTGGGAAACAAATTAACTGCCGTAACTTAGGCCTTTCAAGCATTCCTAAGAATTTTCCTGAAAGTACAGTTTTTCTATATCTGACTGGAAATAATATATCTCATATAAATGAAAGTGAATTAATTGGACTTCATTCTCTTGTAGCATTGTATTTAGATAATTCTAGCATTGTGTATGTGTATCCAAAAGCTTTTGTTCATTTGAGGCAGCTATATTTTCTATATCTGAATAATAATTTTATAAAACGCTTGGATCCTGGAATATTTGAGGGACTTTCCAATCTTCGTAATTTATATTTACAGTCTAATCAAGTATCTTTTGTTCCAAGAGGAGTATTTCATGATCTAGTTTCAGTTCAGTACTTAAATCTACAAAGAAATCGCCTCACTGTCCTCGGGAGTGGTACGTTTGTTGGTATGATTGCTCTTCGGATACTTGATTTATCAAACAATAAAATTTTGAGGATATCAGACTCAGGCTTTCAACACCTTGGAAACCTGGATTGTTTGTATCTAGAAGGTAATAATTTAACAAAAGTACCATCAAATGCTTTTGAAGTTCTTAAGAATCTTAAAAGACTTTCTTTGTCTCATAACCATATTGAAGAAATACAGCCCTTTGCATTTAAAGGACTTGTCAGTTTGGAGTATCTCCTCCTGAAAAATTCAAGAATTAAAAATGTTACTAGGGATGGGTTTAGTGGAATTAGTAATCTTAAACATTTGATCTTAAGTCATAATGATTTAGAAAATTTAAATTCTGACACATTTAGCTTGTTAAAGAATTTAATTTATCTTAAGTTAGATAGAAACAGAATAATCAGCATTGATAATGATACATTTGAAAACATGGGAGCATCTTTGAAGATTCTTAACCTGTCATTTAATAATCTTACAGACTTACATCCAAGGGTCCTTAAGCCATTGTCTTCATTGACTCATCTTCAGGCAAATTCTAATCCTTGGGAATGTAACTGCAAACTATTGGGTCTTCGCGACTGGTTAGCATCTTCAGCCATTACTCTAAACATCTATTGTCAGAATCCCCCATCCATGCGTGGCAGAGCATTGCATTATATTAAATGGACTGACTTTACAAATTGTGTTACATCTTCAACAAATGTATCCAGAGCTTGGGCTATAAAATCTCTTCATATTCATCACAAGACCACTGCATTAATGATGGCCTGGCATAAAATAACCACAAATGGGAAACATTTGGAAAACACTGAGAGTGTTACTTTCTGGGAACGAATTCGTACTTCACCTGCCAGTAGATTTTTTCAAGAGAATACCTTTGGTAATCCATTAGAGACTACTGCAGTGTTACCTGTGCAAATACAGCTTACTTCTCCTGTTAACTTGAACTTGGAAAAAAACAGTGCTCTACCGATTGATGCTGCTTCGGTGTCAGGGAAAACATCTGTAATTTGTACACAAGAAGTTGAAAAGTTGAATGAGGCTTTTGACATTTTGCTAGCTTTTTTTATTTTAGCTTGTGTTGTAATCGTTTTTTTGATCTACAAAGTTGTTCAGTTTAAACAAAAACTAAAGGCACCAGAAAACTCAGGGGAAAATAGACTTGAATACTACAGCTTTTATCAGTCAGCAAGGTATAATGTAACAGCTTCAATCTGTAACACTTCCCCAAATTCTCTAGAATGCCCTGGTTTGGAGCAGATTCGACTTCATAAACAAATTGTTCCTGAAAGTGAGGCACAGGTCATTCTCTTTGAACATTCTGCGTTATAATTCAACTGAATATTGACTATAAGAAAACCTCAGTGTCATGGACATGAATAAAACTGAAGCATCCTTATAGAATTATAGACTTTATTTGGATATATAATGAATTATATGAGCTTAGCATTAATAAATATGTTTTTAATAATTTGTGAATACTGTATTCATTCAGCAAATATTTTCTTTGATAATCACTGTATTAAGTAATTAATAATAACTAATGTTTCTGTGTACCAAGCACTATGCTAAATACTTCATATATAACATTTAATCCTTAAAAAGCCTTATAAGGTAGTACTATCTACATTTTACAAGTAGGGAAATTTAGGCAGAGTGAGTTTAAGAAACTGTCTCAAATTCTCACAGCTTGTGACACTTTTTAGGTCTGTCTGATTCCAGAGCCCATGCTTTTAATTTTATACTATACTGCTGCCTGGGTGCTAGGGTTATAATTGTGAATAGCATGGACATGGTTCCTATTCTCAGTAGAGCTTGAAATGTAGAGGAGGGCACACATGGTTATTGTACAGTATGATAAATACTGCACTTGAAGGTACTCTCTTGTATAACATATGTGGAGGTGAGAGATAGCTTTATGAGAAAAGTGACATTGAAACTGGATTGCAAAGGCTAAGTAGAAATTAGCCCAGTGAAAGAGAGCTGAGTAGTAGGTAGAGGGTTGAAGAAATAGAATACTGCTTTTCAGGAACTAAAATTCAGTCCAACTGGAGTTGTGAGTGGTATATTATGAGATTTGCAGCTAGAGAGAGAAATCAGACGATGAAGGATGTTGTAATTTCATGTTTTTCCCTAGGGCAGCAGGGAGCCATGGAAGGATTTTAAGCATTGTTAAGGGAACCTAATGCTGCTGTTTGGCTACACATTCAGGGATTCTTTTTTTTTTTTTTTTTAAATCAATAAATAAATTTATTTATTTATTTATTTATGGCTGCACTGGGTCTTCATTGCTGCATGCGGGCTTTCTCTAGTTGTGGTGAGCAGGGGCTACTCTTCATTGTGGTGCGCAGGCTTCTCATTCCAGTGGCTTCTCTTGTTGCAGAGCACAGGCTCTAGGCACGTGGGCTTCAGTAGTTGTGGCTCGTGGGCTCTAGAGTGCAGGCTCAGTAGTTGTGGCGCACATGCTTAGTTGCTCTGGGGCATGTGGGATCTTCCCGGACCAGGGCTCGAACCTGTGTCCCCTGCATTGGCAGGCAGATTCTTAACCACTGAGCCACCAGGGAAGTCCCAAGGATTCTTTTAAACATTTAGCATTTGGCAAATACAAACTGAAAGTGCACTCTTTCTGGAAGGAACAAGACTAGAAACAGGATTAATCTGAATCTCGCATGCAGTAATCGCTGATTCATGGGAGAGATGCTGGAGCCCTGGACTGGGGTGGTGGCAGAGAGGATGGATGGATTCTAGAGCTACTTTGGAAGGTGCCTTGGTGATTGGCAGAGGCATGGCAGGTGAGGGAGAAATCAGATGTTAGGTTTTTGGAAAATATTTGCCGTTAGACTACAGGCAACATTTTAGAAAACTCTTGTTTATTTATAAACCACATAGAGAAGTAAATACACCTGTTTTAATCACTACTTAGGTCAAGAAATAGAACATTCACACATAACATATATGTGGACATTTCTTGAACTTAAAAATTATAGAAATAACCAAGTGTTTAAGCTTTAAGGTGGAGGGGGACCCACATGTAATAAGGGCATTTTCACTCCATTTCTTACCCACACCACAACAAAAACAGTAAAATTTGCCATATTTGTTTTTAAGCGTTGGCAAAATGGGAAAAGAAAGCCTGGAAACCTTTTACAAGGTTCTGAAAATGAGCTTTGATGTTAGGTCTTCCTACCAAGTTGGTCCTTCATGCATTTCCCCACATCCTATTGTACTTCTTGTTCTCCCTTGTTAGAAGGATCCCACTCCTTGCTTGTCTTCTGTTACTGGGCCAGACTGGAAAACGTATTCATGGACTAGTAATATGTTGTGCTGCTCTGGACTAAGGAAAGAGAACGGGGTACGTGAAACCAAAGAGAAGGTGGTTCTGTTTACCGGTTAGACTTTGTTTTTATGCATCGCCTACTGAATAGTAACTTAATTTTTTTCCTCCTGAGAAGGCCCATTTTATTTCTCATTAAAACTTTTTCTTTTCTGTTACTGGACTTGCTGATAAGGCCTTAGGTGAGTGGGGAGGGATATGCATCAGTTGTCTCAAATTATTATCTAGTTTATTAGTGATTTCACAGTTATGGAGCAATATTAACAAGTGATAGGCCCATGGTTTTCAGTATTATACTGTCTCAAGTATAGTTTTTTAAAAGTGCCCTCCATCTCTAGTCATCACTCTACTGAAGTTGGTAGGCTCTTGTGGCTGCATACTTTAATGTGAGAAGCCTTGTGGGTTAAAAGATAAATATGGAGAAAGCAGCATGAATGAAAGGAATGTATAGTATGCGTTCTACTGGTCCAAATGTGCCTTGTTTCATTGTTCCTGACTTTTGAGGCATCATGTGACATAGTAGACGGCACTATATTTTAGTGGGAAGTAGTTTTTTGATTGTCAATAGTGTGTAATTGTAATATACAGTACTTTCCTTTTATCTCCATGTCTTCCCGTATGTCTTGAGTTTCCGGTACCTGAGCATAAACCCTTGCCTGTTCTTAGTTTGGATATTGGCTTTGGAAAATCTAACTTTTTGCCAGATACCTTCTCTGATACTCTTCCTACTGTTAATTCTATTCTTAATACATAAGTTCACATTTTCTTTGTATTTTGTTTGAGGTCCCATGGAGCAAATATTTTTATGTTCTAGTTCAGTTTCCTCATGTTTTGGCTTTCAGAACCCCTTTTCTTAAATCATCTGCTTCTCATCTATGAAAGCCTCCTAAGGCATTGTCCTCTAGAATGGGGACCTGTGAGATAAAAGAAGAAAATATGTATGGTCTCTACCCCTGATTCTTGGCACAGAGCTCCTGAAACCCTTGTAATTTCCTAAGTGATAAGAACATTAGGAGCATCTTTTGTTCTGACGAGGCAGCTCTGGGGTGGGCTCCTAGACTGAGGTCACCAGAGAGACTGAGCCATGACTAGAGGCTTGGAATTTTCAGCTCCAAGCCCCATCTTCCACAGAGGGGAGATGAGCTGGAAATGGAGTTAATAATTGAGTATGTATGTAAGGAATTCTCCATAAAATCCCAATAGTAGTGTGTTCAAGGAGCTTCCAGATGGGGGAACACATCCACATCGGAGGGGTGATACGCCCCACCTCCACAGGGACCAAAGCACCTGTGCTCAGGACCCTCCCAGACCTTGCCCTCTGTAGCTCTTCATCTGGCTATTCATCTGTATTCTTTATCATATATTTTAGTAAACTGGTAAACATGTTTCCCTGAATTCTGTGATTTCTCTGGCAAATCAGTTGAACCTAGGGAGGAGTCATTGGAACCTTTGGCATCTGAGGTACTTGGGGGGTGGCTCAGTCTTGTGGGTCTGAGACCTTAACCTATGTGATCTGACATTATCTCCAGGGAGATAGTGTTAGAATTGAGTTAAATTGTAGGTCATCCAGCGGGTGTCACAGAGAATGGCATGTTGGGAAAATCTTCCACACAATTGGTGACCAGAAGTAAAGTGTGCTGTGAGTAAAGAAGACTCACAGAAGAGAAACATAGTAGGGAAGGACAAGGTTTCTCCCTACTTGGGAAGGAAAAATCTGAGTTTTTTTTCCATTTAGGACCATACCCTCCTGGAGTTTCATTCCTACTGTAAATACAACTAACCAGGTAAATTCAGGCAATAGCATTCTTAGCAGATGGAATCCCTCCATGGAAGTCCTAAGACTAAGAAAGTGTTTGTCAGAAAGAAGGCTAGTATAGCTGGAGAGTAGTATGAAAAGTTAGGTGAGGTCAGAGAGAGGTAGGCAGCAACCAGGTCAGATGGGGCTGAGTAAACCATGATTAGGAGTTTGGATTTTTATGTGTAATGGGAAGTTACTGAAAGGTTAAACCCTTACTTACTTACTTAATTTATTAAAAAATTTTTAACATCTTTATTGGAGTATAATTGCTTTACAATGTTGTGTTAGTTTCTGCTGTATAACAAAGTGAATCAGCTATATGTATACATATATCCCCATATCCCCTCCCTCTTGCATCTCCCTCCCACCCTCCCTATCCCACCCCTCTAGGTGGTCACAAAGCACAGAGCTGATCTCCCTGTGCTGTGCAGCTGCTTCCCACTAGCTATCTATTTTACATGTGGTAGTGTATATATGTCCATGCCACTGTCTCACTTCGTCCCAGCTTACCCTTCCCCCTCCCCTTGTCCTCAAGTCCATTCTCTATGTCTGCGTCTTTATTCCTGTCCTGCCCCTAGGTTCTTCAGAACCATTTTTTCTTTTTTTTTAGATTCCATATATATGTGTTAGCATGTGTAAACCCTTACTTTAAAGCAAGGGAGACATGATCAGATTTTGCAAAAGAGCACTGTGTAGAGAATGAATTAGAAGAAGCAAAGAGTGGAAGGGTCCCCATGTGGGAAGTTATGCAATAGTTCAAAGTAGAGACAGAATTGACTTGCAGCACGCTGTTCACAGTAGGAATATAGAGAAGTCGAAAAATTTCATAGATAAATGTGACAGAATTTGATGATAAATTGGGTTTTTGAAGGGTAGATGAGGAGAAAGGTCACAACTGAATCCCAGCTTCTGGCCTGAGTCACTGGGTGCTTAGAATTGCTCTGTAGTCAGATAAGGACAACTGGAAGAGAGCCTGATTTTGATTTTCTATCTTGTTTTGCTTTGTTTTTGTTGGGAAGGCACTCAAAAGTTTGGTGTTGGCTACCTTAAGTTAGAGATGCTTGTGAGACTGCCAAGAGTGGATAAGGAGGATGTAGATGTAATAGGGTTCCAAAGCTCAGAGAGGTCATTGTGAGTGCTAGCAGTATTTAGGAGGAATTTGGCAGTGTGCCTGAATGAGGCAGGTCTAAATAGCACGCATTTAACTCATTTTCCCTATAAGAAAAATATACATAAGGTTTTTGGTCAGCTTGAATGTGTTGTATTTACAAAGCTGTAACAAAATAGTCAAATGCCTATTATATTGTTAGTTTAGTTCCATATACATATTTTAAAATAATG